AATATGTATATAATAAATTATTATTATCAATATTGTTATTTTAATTGGTGGCTTAAGACAACTTGTAGATAACTTCAAATTTATCTCTTTTTGTATCACGCTCGTTTGTAAAATGCCGAAAAACGTCCTCTCTTTTGAATTGCGCTATTAATGTGTCGGTTGTCTTATCTCGCCACTAATAGTTGGGACCGCCTAGCAGCGCAGAAGACAGAGCAGAAGAAAATGGTCGGAGCAGTGGAAGTGGACAGGGCTTTGGCCGCAGGAAAGTGAAGGGACCGGGCTATGCATCGCCGCTCGAAGCCATGAAAGGGCCTCGCGAGGCTTTGATCTACGTCACCTGCGTCTATAACGGTGAAATAACTCGCAATCTCCATCCTCTTTGTATCTCTGCTCAGTTTTTATGTTTGCTGGTTTGGATAACATTCGGAATTAGTTTTGTTTCCCCAAGTCGGTGGTGGTATTATTTGATTTGACCTATGAAATGGAGATCGGATTCAACGTTATAGCTCCGATCAGAATGAAAGAAAGAAAAGGAGGAGGGTTCTTGGATCTGAATCATGGGCTATTGCGGTGATCTTTACTGTGAAGTTTTTTTTTACTCATTGTAAGATTTACATGCATGCTTCACAATTCCTATGTATCTACACTTTGATATTTATATTTATACCAACTTAACTATGCAAGAAAATGTGCATTTCATTTTTAAAAATTAGTCATAGTGGCATTTTTGATGGGATATGAAATATTTGAGTGTTAGAAATATAAAAAAGTCAAATTCTGTTAGGTGTTAGATACATAAATTCATAAGAATTGTGTGATGTGTATGTAAATGCCTCTTTATTTGTGAAATTTACATACATACTACCCAATTCTTATTTATTTACATATCAGACACATAAACTTTGATTGTTACTTTTATGACACTTTGATGCATAAACCTATGGGTGAAAAGGCATATTTGATTTCTAAAAGCTAATAATAGTGGTATTTTTGATATAATATTAAAAATTTAAGTATTTTTTATGTAAATATGAAAGTTTAGGTTTTAAATATGAATTTGTAGTATGTATGTAAAATGTATTAAAGATTAAAAAAAAAAATTACTTTTCTTAGAAGAAGTTATTCAACATAGGTGGGTTAGCTCTTTGGATAAACTTTTCAATGAAGTTTCTGAAAATACGATCGATCATTTTAAAGACTAAAAGATGCCTGAGAAGTGGATGAATAATATTTTAATTCCAATTTTTAATTATTTTGTTTTTTTTGGGTTCGTTGGGATGCACAAGAGTGTGCTAGTTATAGAGGAATTAAGTTGATGTGTCATGCCTTAAAATTATGGGAGAGAGTAATCGAACATAGGTTAAAACGTGATACAAAGATTTCTCATAATCAATTTGGATTTATGCCGGGCAGGTCTACTATGGAAGCTATACATTTATTGAGAGGTTTGATAGAGAAGTATAGAGAGAATAAGAAGGATCTACAAATGATTTTTATTGATTTAGAAAAAGATTACGATAAGGTTTCAAGAGAAGTCATTTGCAGAGTTCTAGAGAAAAAAATATTGATATTACTTATATTCAAGTCATTAAAGATATGTATAATAGAGCTGTTATTTGTGTTAGAATAGAAGGAGGTTCACTAAGTATTTTTCTATTTCAGTTGGATTTCATTAGAGATTGACTTTAAGCCCATATCTTTTTGCTTTAGTTATGAATGCACTTACTAAACATTTATAGGAGGATCTAAGGACAATATACCTAGGTGTATGCTTTTCATTGATGATATCCTTATTGTGGATAAGACTAATCGTGGATAAGAATAGAAAAAAAAAGCTCAGGATAAACTTGAATTAGGAGGTCTACATTGGAGTCTAAAGGCCTTCGTTTGAGCATAACTAAAACTGAATACATGGAATGCAATATAGTTGTAGTAGCTCTGGTGGCAGAGTTGTAACTATGAGTGATTAAATCTATTATGTGTGATTAAATCATTAAAAGGTGTGAACATTTTAGATTTCTTGGGTCTATTGTTCAGAGTGATGGTGATATAGATGGAGATGCTATTAGTAGAATTCAAGTTGGTTGGTTGAAGTGGAGAAATGCTTTGGGCCCATTGTGTGATAGAAAAATATCTCTTAAACTGAAAGGAAAATTTTAGAAGATGATGTTAAGACCTGCAATGTCTATGACACAGATTGTTGACCTTTAAAAGAGAATCATAAAACAAACTGTTGATGAGATGAGAATGCTTAGGTGGATGAGTAGCTTGATGCTTAGAGACAAAATGTGAAATGAATATATCCATGATAGGATTGTTGTAGCTCTAGTGGTAGACAAGATTAGAGGGAGTCTTCTTAGATGGTTTGGTTATATTAAATGTCGACCATCTGATGATCCAGTTAGGAGAATAGATGTTTTAGCTTCGATTGATGTTAAGAAAGACGGAGTTAGACCTAAAAAGATTTAGGCATATTTGTATAAAAAAATGATCTTAATCTATTAGAATTAAATGAAAATATGACACTCAATAGGACACAATGGAGAAAAAGATTCATGTAGCCACCCCCACTTAGTGGGATAAAAGGTTGTTGTTGTATGTAAAGGATTAATTTTCTTCCTATTGCATAAAAGATTTTTTCCTTTTAATCTATGGAAGTTTTTATTGGTTGGGCCTTGGAAAATTTGATTCTTAATTTTTTTCTGGATCAGAAGTTGAACTTTTGCTAGGATCAATCAATCGCTATGATTGTCTTTATTGCATTGTATGGTGCTCTTCAGTAATGTGTAAGATTGTTTGGTGAAATCACTAATTCCAAGTGTTGTAAGTGCTTTTTTGTAAACTACTCTTGATTCTAATTTGAGTTAATTTAGTGACAAAATATTACTTACAATATAAAATTCATTCAAAATTAATATCTTACAGTTTAAATGTAATTCAATAATTATAAGAATTTTTTACTAATTATCATTTTATATCCTAACTATTAATGAGTGATTTACCGTATTAATTGGGCTAGTTTAGTGCCATTATTATTAAAGTATATATTATTATTTACAATATATATTATGTTAATTAGTTAATATACTCTTGTTAATATGATTCATTATCAATACACCTTAAAATTTATTGTTTTTAATATATATTCAATGTTCATTTTATGCACATTTTTGATGATATTTCACTTTAAAAGAAGATATTTTGCATGTTTTTGGTTTCAGGTACAAGAAAATAATCTTTAGAAAAAATGAGAGCAAAATGACACATCATATGACGCCATAGTGTCAGGTATCCGATGTGATCGGCGCTATAGCGCCCTAGAGTGACTTTATAGCGCTAGAAACAGTTTCTCTAGAAGATGCAATGAATTTGAACGAATTTTGAAGAGGTGCTTGACCCTTGGTTATTTTCAGAGTTCTATTAAAAAGGGTCGATGACTTAAAAAAAAAGAAGAGTCTAGGGGGTGCGTGAGGTCATATTGGTGAGAGTTTATGTAAGAGAAGAGAGTCTTTGATTGCGTAAGAAGAGTTTGGAGATTGCTTGAAGGAAACTTTAGGAATTGCTTTGGGGAGAAGACATAAGATAAATACTTTGTATTTGTGTTTGAATTTTTGTTGTTAAAACTTGAATTTCAATACAAATCCTGTTTTGTTGTACTATCTCAATGAATTCTAAGTAGTTTTCTTTATTTCTCCTTTCATATGAGAATTAATCACATGAGATAAAAATGCTTTAAATATTTTTTTTATTTTAAAAAATTACGATGATATTTTTAACAATTCTTCATTGACTTTACAAATTAACCACTTGTGAGTTTAAAATCTGTTGAGAAACATAATGATCCGGGAGTACTATGATTCCACCCAACTTGTGAATGTCACACTCACTTTATGAGAAGGGCAACCACAATCTAAGGAGAGTGCAAATATATAGAAAGATAAGTTTTGATGAGCGTAGAATTAATGTTTATAGGGTGACAAACTAAATTTTTTTGTTAATTCGATCTTGAGTTTGGATCTAAGGGTCTCTGGTCCTATAAAGAAGACACAGTGGGTAATCTAGAAGTGAGGGACTAGAATCTACTCAGCACAACTACACAAGTTGGAACAAACTTAAGGTTAGCAAATGTTCTTTGCTAGTCCCAAGAGGGGGTAAAGAATATGTATGCTTTTATTTATCACAATACATCATTTTATATTTTTAATCATTCAAATCCCACACTGATTAAGATCTCTTTGCAAGGGGAAATATCTTTTCTTAATATTTGAACTTTTTAAAACTTTATTAGTCTTGTATACTTTGTTCTTACTTTCTTCTTAAATTTAGATTGCACATAAATTTAATTTTAATAATTTACAAATATTTCAACACTATTCTCCTATAATTTTTATCTGCAATTTAGATAGAAATTTTTCTAAGTTATTATTAAAAAGTTATAACTTTCCTTGTGGGTTCGATAATGGGGTTTTTAAAGAAAGTTCTATATTACTTGAAACGATATGTATAGTTGCGTAGTACATACAATGTGAAAGTTTATTATTTATTTTCTAAATCATTTTATTTATTCACACTAGCCGCTAAATATAATTTGAGACAAGTTTTTGACAATCTTTTGGAATATAAATATTTGCGTAATTGTGGGTTGGGTCCAATTTTTGGTGTCGTTGTCGGGAATTGGATGAAACTTTTCAACTTAGAAAATTGTTATTTGAATTGTAAGCTTATTTTAGAAGAATTGCATTTTAATTTTCCTTGTGGTACTTTAATTCAAAAAATATAAAATTAAAAATTTTGAAAAAACAAAAAGTTAAAAAATTTAAAGCCGAAAATCAAAAAAATAATTTTAAGAATATTTTTATTTGCTGAATTCTTGCTAAGTTCGAGATCTAAAGGTTTAGTGCCTTACGATTTTGAGTCAGAACAAACGATAAAAAGAATTAGAGAACAAAAAACAGTTTACAATTTACAAGAAATGACGAACATGTTACAAAATAATATTGATAATCAAACTGTTGAAAATGAACATCATAACATATAAAGATCTTTCAGGGACTACACAAACCCTACAACGAATGAAATCCACTTAAGTATACAAACCCCTGTTATAGCAGCTAACTCATTTGAACTTAAAACTGCAATTATACAAATGATACAAAACAATCAGTTTGAGGGAACACCATCTTAAGATATAAATTTATATTTAGCAAATTTTTTAGAACTGTGTGCTACATTTAAATAGGACGATGTATCAAACGACGCTGTCAGACTTGAGCTTTTTTCTTTTTCATTAAGAGATGAAACTGAGATGCAGTTAAATTCGTTAGCACCTAGATCTATTAGAAATTGGGGGG